TTTTTTTTCTAGTTATGTCAGTGTCGGTGCTCCATACTGCAGAACTTGGTAATTCAATGTCTGAATCAGGTGTGTTGGAGCAGGAAAAACATAAAACCTGCTGGGCTGCGGCCCTCGAGGMCCAGGATTGCCCACCCCTGATTTAGAGTTTTATCAGCCGAACAGTCGCAGCACAAATGAAGATGAAGGAGGAGAAGAAGCACAAAAGGTCACGACCCTGGAGGAGATAAAGGCACAAGGAGCCTCGCCGAATGTACAGCGACGCTGCGCTGACGTTTGAACTTTCCCTGCTACAGGCCTGTTCCGCTGTGGTCATCAATAAAGTGCGTGTTTACGTGTGTGTGTGTGTGTGTGTGTGTGTTTTTTGTAGCCTTTTTCCAGAGCTTCACGCTCCCTTGCTTCTTATTTTGCTCTCCCAACAGGCCCGGACAACACGCCCGGCATCATTAATGCTCTCTTTGAGATGGCAGGAAGGGAGATGAGTCACAGACCTGAGAAAACCAAAACATCCAAAATGCTTCACTGCCAAAGGACAATTCAGAGCTAAAAGTAGCCACATGGCATCTATCATTCATTGACAGCTAACTGACAAGTCTGTATTTGTGTGTGTGGTGAACAGAAGCTCAAACGTGCAAAAAACACAAAAATACATTTTTTTTTCAAATGACAGTGCTGCACGTATGCCGGGTGGCTGCTGAGACAGCTTATTAAAGTAAAAACATCCAGAGAAGAGGCTAAAATGAGTAGAACAGAGACTGAAATTAGCTAAAAAGGAGCTAAAATCATCAGATTGGAGGGTAAAATTAGTCAAAACGTGGCTGAAATCAGTAAAGGCTAAAATGAGCAGAACATGGACTAAAATGAGATTAAAACGATCAAATGGGCTGAACAGATACAGTGGCCAAGATTAGCTAAAATTAGCAGAATATATGCTAAAATGAGCAAAACAGTGGCTAAGACTAGCTAAAATTAGGCTAAAATGAGCAGAATATATGCTAAACTGAGCAAAACAGTAGCCAAGATTAGCTAAAATGAGCAGAATAGACACTAAAATGAGCGAAACAGTAGCTAAAATTAGCTAAAATGAGGCTAAAATTAGCAGAATATATGCTAAACTGAGCAAAACAGTAGCTAAGATTAGCTAAAATGAGCAGAATAGACACTAAAATGAGAGAAACAGTAGCTAAGATTAGCTAAAATGAGCAGAATAGACACTAAAATGAGAGAAACAGTAGCTAAAATTAGCTAAAATGAGCAGAATAGACACTAAAATGAGCGAAACAGTAGCTAAAATTAGCTAAAATTAGCAGAATATATGCTAAACTGAGCAAAACAGTAGCTAAGATTAGCTAAAATGAGGCTAAAATGAGCAGAATAGACACTAAAATGAGTGAAACAGCAGCTAAGATTWGCTAAAATGAGGCTGAAATGAGCAGAATATATGCTAAAATGAGCAAAACAGTGGCTAATATTAGCTAAAATGAGCAAAATAAATGCTAAAATGAGCGAAACAGTAGCTAAGATTAGCTAAAATGAGGCTAAAATGAGCAGAATAGACACTAAAATGAGCAAAACAGTGGTTAAGATTAGCTAAAATGAGCGGAATATATGCTAAAATGAGCAAAACAGTAGCTAAGATTAGCTAAAATTAGGCTAAAATGAGCAGAATAGACACTAAAATAAGCGAAACAGTAGCTAAGATTAGCTAAAATGAGGCTAAAATGAGCAGAATATATACTAAAATGAGCAAAACAGTAGCTAAGATTAGCTAAAGTGAGGCTCAGTTGAGCAGAATAGACACGAAAATGAACAAAGCAGTGGCTAAGTTTAGCTGAAAAGAGGCTAAATGATAGAAACAGGGTTTAAAATAAGCTAAAAAGAGGCTGTGGTGATGTTAAGAGTATGCAACCATGCAGTGTGCACAACAGGTAAGATATTATTTGTTCATAAGCTTTYCACAGAACCTCTTTTGTTTGCTGGTATTTRTCCAGTTGACATGACTCGYTCCAGTTTACTYGTGGATTTGTTTATTTGTACATTTTTCCACACCTCACATTGAGCGTGGAGTGTTTTGGACCTAACAGGGTCAGTACTGAGGAGAAATCTGCTGACTCATGTTCTGTTCTAATAAAAACCCCTAAAAAAAACAAAACAAAGCACATCCAGTTCAATTTGTGTCCAAGGCCCAGAAGTGCCCCTGTCCGCCCAGCACCGGTGTGTCTGCACACCAGGACACTGTCCTCCCTGCTGGACGAGGACAGAGGAGTAATCAATGAGTCATGTGTCCAGATTACAACMAGCTCCCTGCAGAGAGTCTTCAAAGAGCCCCAGAGGAGATGGAGAGAGGGCAGAAGAACTGCCCTCCACGGGGTAATTACAGGCCGAGGCTCTTTCAGTGGACGGTCGGGCTTAAAGACAGACCAGTTAGCAATTCGTCCAGCCTTGTTAGCGCAGCGGGAGGCTGTTCCCAGCACCGATCATCGACTGGAGCCTGCCATGTAAAATTAAATAATTTGACACAGTGAAGAAGAAAAGGTGTGCTCGCAGCGGCGTGTTTGCTGAGCGAGGGTACCAGACGATCCTGCAGGCCGGGCCGGGCAGATCCCGTGCAGCTGAGCGCAYGGCCGTCTGCAGCAGGAACACGTTCAAGTGTTTAAAACAGCCGTAAAAAGTGGACAAACAGGCCGGAGCAGCGTCTGGCTGTCTGTAGGCTCTTTGTTTCCCTCCACTCCTTCCACCTTCAGTGTGTGTAACACACACACACACACACACACACACACACACACACACACACACA